TTTTATCCAAAATTTACAAGGGTAAGGGGTAAGCTTTGCATTTTTATCAAAAAGGGGCAAACACATTTTTATCCAAAATTTTAAACGGTAAGGGGTTAGTTAGCCTTGTCTTTTTATCAGAAAGAGGCAAAAACACATTTTTATCCAAAAATTTAAAACGGTAAGGGGTAAGCCTTGTATTTTTATCAGAAAGAGGCAAAAACACATTTTTATCCATAATTTACAACAGTAAGGGGTTAGCCTTGCATTTTTACCAAATAGAGGCAAAAACACATTTTTATCCAAAATTTAAAACGGTAAAGGGTTACCCTTGCATTTTTATGAAAAAGGGGCAAAAACACGTTATTATCCAAAATTTAAAAAAAAGGTAAGGGGTTAGCCTGGCATTTTTATCAAAAAGGGGCAAAAACACATTTTTATCCAAATTTTAAAACGGTAAGGGGTTAGCCTTGCATTTTTATCAAAAAGGGGCAAAACACATTTTTATCCAAAATTTAAAACGGTAAGGGGTTAGCCTTGCATTTTTATCCAAAAGAGGCAAAAATCACATTTTTATCCATAATTTACAACAGTAAGGGGTTAGCCTTGCATTTTTACCAAATAGAGGCAAAAACACATTTTTATCCAAAATTTAAAACGGTAAAGGGTTACCCTTGCATTTTTATGAAAAAGGGGCAAAAACACGTTATTATCCAAAATTTAAAACGGTTAGGGGTTAGCCTGGCATTTTTATCAAAAAGGGGCAAAAACACATTTTTATCCAAATTTTAAAACAGTAAGGGGTTAGCCTTGCATTTTTATCTAAAAGGGGCACAAACACGTTATTATCCAAAATTTAAAACGGTAAGGGGTTAGCCTTGCATTTTTACCAAATAGAGGCAAAAACACATTTTTATCCAAAATTTAAAACGGTAAGGGGTTAACCTTGCATTTTATTAAAAAGGGGCAAAAACACGTTATTATCCAAAATTTAAAACGGTAAGGGGTTAGCCTTGCATTGTTATCAAAATGGGGCAAAAACACATTTTTATCCAAAATTTACAACGGTAAGCATGGTAAGGGGTTAGCCTTGCATTTTTATCAAAAAGGGGCAAAAAAACATTGTTATCCAAATTTTAAAACGGTAAGGGGTTAGCCTTGCATTTTTATCAAAAAGGGGCAAAACACATTTTTATCCAAAATTTAAAACGGTAAGGGGTTAGCCTTGCATTTTTATCCAAAAGAGGCAAAAACACATTTTTATCCAAAATTTACAACAGTAAGGGGTTAGCCTTGAATTTTTATCAAAAAGGGGCAAAAACATGTTTTTATCCAAAATTTAAAACGATAAGGGGTTAACCTTGCATTTTTATTAAAAAGGGGCAAAAACACGTTATTATCCAGAATTTAAAGCGGTAAGGGATTAGCCTTTCATTTTTATCAAAAAGGGGCAAAAACACGTTTTTATCCAAAAATTTAAAACGGTAAGGGGTAAGCCTTGCATTTTTATCAAAAAGGGGCAAAAACACATTTTGATCCAAAATTTTAAACGGTAAGGGGTTAGTTAGCCTTGTATTTTTATCAAAAAGAGCCAAAAACACATTTTTATCCAAAAATTTAAAACAGTAAGGGGTTAGCCTTGCATTTTTACCAAATAGAGGCAAAAACACATTTTTATCCAAAATTTAAAACGGAAAGGGGTTACCCTTGCATTTTTATGAAAAAGGGGCAAAAACATGTTATTATCCAAAATTTAAAACGGTCAGGGGTTAGCCTTGTATTTTAAATCAAAAAGAGGCAAAAACACATTTTTATCCAAAATTTAAAACGATACGGGGTTAACCTTGCATTTTTATTAAAAAGGGGCAAAAACACGTTATTATCCAAAATTTAAAACGGTAAGGGGTTAGCCTTGCATTTTTTTTCAAAAAGGGGCAAAAACACATTTTTATCCAAAATTTACAACGGTGAGCATGGTAAGGGGTTAGCCTTGCATTTTTATCAAAAAGGGGCAAAAACACATTGTTATCCAAATTTTAAAACGGTAAGGGGTTAGCCTTGCATTTTTATCAAAAAGGGGCAAAACACATTTTTATCCAAAATTTAAAACGGTGAGGGGTTAGCCTTGCATTTTTATCCAAAAGAGGCAAAAACACAATTTTATCCAAAATTTACAACAGTAAGGGGTTAGCCTTGCATTTTTATCAAAAAGGGACAAAAACACATTTTTATCCATAATTTACAACAGTAAGGGGTTAGCCTTGAATTTTTATCAAAAAGGGGCAAAAACACATTTTTATCCATAATTTACAACGGTAAGGGGTTAGCCTTGCATTTTTATCAAAAAAGGGCAAAAACACATTTTTATCCAAATTTTAAAACAGTAAGGGGTTAGCCTTGTATATTTATCAAAAAGAAGCAAAAACACATTTTTATCCAAAATTTGCAACGGTAAGGGGTAAGCTTTGCATTTTTATCAAAAAGGGGCAAAAACACATTTTTATCCAAAATTTTAAACGGTAAGGGGTTAGTTAGCCTTGAATTTTTATCAGAAAGAGGCAAAAACACATTTTTATCCAAAAATTTAAAACGGTAAGGGGTAAGCCTTGTATTTTTATCAGAAAGAGGCAAAAACACATTTTTATTCATAATTTACAACAGTAAGGGGTTAGCCTTGCATTTTTACCAAATAGAGGCAAAAACACATTTTTATCCAAAATTTAAAACGGTAAGGGGTTAACCTTGCATTTTTATTAAAAAGGGGCAAAAACACGTTATTATCCAAAATTTAAAACGGTAAGGGGTTAGCCTTGCATTGTTATCAAAAAGGGGCAAAAACACATTTTTATCCAAAATTTGTATTTTTATCAAAAAGGGGCAAAAACACATTTTTATCCAAAATTTAGAAAGATAAGGGGTTTACCTTGCATTTTTATTAAAAAGGGGCAAAAAACACGTTATTATCCAAAATTTAAAACGGTAAGGGGTTAGCCTTGCATTTTTATCAAAAAGGGGCAAAAACACATTTTTATCCAAAATTTACAACGGTAAGGGGTTAGCCTTGCATTTTTATGAAATAGGGGCAAAAACACATTTTTATCCAAAATTTAAAACGGTCAGGGGTTAGCCTTGTATTTTAATCAAAAAGAGGCAAAAACACATTTTTATCCAAAATTTAAAACGGTATGGGGTTAACCTGGCATTTTTATGAAAAAGGGGCAAAAACACATTTTATCCAAAATTTAAAAGGGTAAGGGGTTAGCCTTGCATTTTTATCAAAAAGGGGCAAAAACACATTTTTATCGAAAATTTAAAACGGTAAGGGGTTAGCCTTGCATTTTTATCAAAAAGAGGCAAAAACACATTTTTATCCAAAATTTAAAACGGTCAGGGGTTAACTGCATTTTTATGAAAAAAGAGGCAAAAACACATTTTTATCCAAAATTTACAACGGTAAGGGGTTAGCCTTGCATTTTTATCAAAAAGGGGCACAAACACATTTTTTATCCAAAATTTAAAACGATAAGGGGTTAGCCTGGCATTTTTATCAAAAAGGGGCAAAAACACATTTTTATCCAAAATTTGTATTTTTATCAAAAAGGGGCAAAAACACATTATCAAAAATTTAAAACGGTAAGGGGTTAGCCTTGTACATGTACATGTATTTTTATCAAAAAGAGGCAAAAACACATTCGTATCCATAATTTACAACGGTAAGGGGATAGCCTTACATTTCTATCAAAAACATGAATAAGGGTAAAGCTTTGCATTTTGATCAAATGGGGGGAAGTTAAGATTTTATCACAAAGTTGTAATGGTAAGGGGTTAGCCTTGCATTTGTATCAAGAAAAGGATGAAAACCAACTTTTTTATCCAAATTCAAAACGGGCAAGAGTAAACTTTTATCACAAATTCAAAACAGTAAGGTGCCTTGCATTTTTATCGAAATGGGGGAAGTTACATTTTTATCACAAATTCAAATCGGTAAGGGGTTAGCCTTGCATTTTATCAAAATGGGAGAAAAGTTAATTTTTATCACAAATTCAAAATGGTAATGCGTTAATAGTCTTGCATTCTGATTAAAATTGGACAAAAATTTAGTTCATTATAAAAAAAATTGAAATGGTAAGACCTTGTTTTTTCTTTGTTAAACCGAACTCCATCAACAGAACATCAAAGAAAGAGAAATAACATTGTAAAGTACGGGTCAAAAGTTAACTTTTTATCACAAATTCAAAACAGTAAGGGGTTAGCCATGCATTTTTATAAAAACTGGTCAAAAGCAAATTTTTATCACAAAATCAAAAAGGCTAGGTGTTAGCTTTGCATTTTTATAAAAATGGAGGGAAATGTACTTTTTAACACAAATTATAACGGTAAGGGGTTAGCATTGCATTTTTTTTCAAAACGGGGTAAGCGTTAACTTTTGATCACAAAATCAAAACGGAAATGGGTTAGTTAGTGCAAGTTAGCCTTGCATTTTTATCAAAAACGGGGCAAAAAAACCTTTTTATCCTTGCATTTTTATCAAAATGGGGGAAAGCTAAGTTTGTATCACATATTCAAAACGGTAAGGGCTAATGAAGGGGTTAGCCTTGCATTTTATCAAACTGGGGGAAAGTTAACTTTTTATCACAAATTCAAAACGGTAAGGGCTTATGAAGGGGTTAGCCTTGCATTTTTATCAAAATGGGGGAAAATTAAGTTTTATCACAAATTCAAAACGGTAAGGGGTTAGCCTTGCATTTTTATCAAAATGGGGGAAAGTTAACTTTTTATCACAAATTCATAACAGTAAGGGCTAATGAAGGGGTTAGCCTTGCATTTTTATCAAAATGGGGGAAAATTAAGTTTTTATCACAAATTCAAAACGGTAAGGGGTTAGCCTTGCATTTTTATCAAAATGGGAGAAAGTTAAGTTTTTATCACAAATTCAAAACGGCAAGGGGTTAGCCTTGCATTTTTATCAAAATGGGGGAAAGTTACGTTTTTATCACAAAATCAAAACGGTAAGGGGTTAGCCTTGCATTTTTTTTTTCAAAACAGGGCAAAATTTTTTTTATCACAAATTCAAAGCGGTAGTGGATTAGCCTTTCATTTTTATCAAAAAGGGACAAAAAGAATTATTTATCACATATTCGAACCGGTTCGTGGTTAGCCTTGAATTTTTATCATAAACTGGTCAAAAGTTAACTTTTCATCAGATATTCAAAACTGTAAAGGATTAGCCTCGCATTTTTATCAAAAAGGGGCAAAAACAAACTTAGTTTTTATGGTAGTTTTTATCAAAAAATAGCACGAACGTAAATTTTCATCAAAATTTCAATACGGTAAGGGTTAGCCTTGCATTTTTATAAAAATGGGGAAAGTTAAGTTTTTATCACAAATTCAATACGATAAGGGCTTACCATTTACTTTTTATCAAAACATGTTCAACTTATGCCTGTGCAAATCCGAAGGTAAAAGTGGCGAACAAGACATTGTTTAGACTTACCACTTAGACGACTTGCATGATGTCAGACTTCTTGGGTGTATTGTTTCAAAATGAATGTGTAAATTGCAAGTTTGCATCGACAGGTCTCGCATATTACCAAGAAAAATTACCGCAAATAAATGTTTAACTGGAAAATACAAGACTACCTAGTCGAGCCTTAAGCCGAACTGTTTACAAAATCAGTCACAAGTCATCACAAGTTAACTAAGAGTCATTCAGTCTCAAATCTATTCAACGTGACTGATCTGGTTACATCTCTGCCCAAAACAGCCAAGTCCAGTTCTGCCCTCTGCAAATCTTGGGTGTCGGCAAGCTCACCTTGGCCCCCTCTCCAAGTCTCTTGTCCAGTTTTTCACACTCCTTGTTGACAATGTGATCAACCTCATTCTCATCAATCTGAATGGAAAAAAAGTAACAAAAGTTTCATTTAAAACAACATTTTCTCTGTATCTCTGGTAACTGTGATTTTACAAAACTTGCCACAAATTTGTTTCCATGTGATACTTCAAATGCTTGGCACTGAAAGCTTAGTTCTTTATTTTTCTGCTCCTGTAGTATTGAATAGTTATCTTTGGTTCAAGTTAGGGCACATCTTAAAAGTTGAAATGTTCCAATTCCATAAGCTTCTTTTTGGAGCACTGTGTGTTCCCAATGTGTTCCCAACTGTGGCCTAATTACAGAAGTTATTTCTGCACCAGGCGATTTTGACTTTGACTCAACCATGTGTCCCGTCCGAAATTTCAAGTTAGAATGATTTGCTCTTCTTTTGACATTGACCTTCAATACTTTAAAACATAAATCAAATGGCCATTTGTGCTCGTTTTGTTTTGGCATGGTACAAAAACCTGGCTACACTTTTAAAACAATTTGGAACAGCGACTCAACTTCAAAGTGGCATTTGAAAGGACCATGGCACATCTTGATTTTAGACGTAAATCCACTCATGAGCTAGTATATAATATTTGAGCAGATTCGCTGATTAATTATGCAACACCTCTAGATTTTGACCAATCAGAGGGCACTTTCTATATCAGGCCTTCGGTCATTCACCAATTGTCGCATCATATACATGATTAAAAAAAAACCTCCAGACACAACATGGGATACGCTGTGAATTGAGCACACAAAGGCTGTGGTCAGGCACTCTGTGTTATGTTACGCGATACACCCCTAGCTTGTCTAGATTCTATAGATCTAGGCCCGGCCGTTGTTTTAGTATAAAACACTGCATCGGAATCAACCAATCACACTTGTACATGTTGTCAAGATTTCTGAATGAAATTACGTCCTGATTTAACGTTGACTCTGATTGGCTACCGTAGCTCATGGCACAGCACACATTTGCATTCCTAGACGTTTGAATGGAGTTAGGGCTAGAACGGGTGATACTCAGACTACTCATGAGCTGAACCTAATGCAAACTGCTGCAAATCTACAGCAGGTTTGCCTGTCTGAGACATGAGGATAAAATTACGACTGTTGGACAAAAACTCAGTTTTGAGCCGCCATCTACACTTTTAGTGTAAAATTTGTTTGGACAAACATGGTCAGTGATTGGTAATTATCTGTTCAATGGTAATTTCACCTTTGTGAAATGAAAATCTAGTTGGGCTTACTGATTTTTGGGATGGCTTGACTCTTGATCGCCAGTCGGAACCATGTGGATATGAATTGCCAAATAAACACAAGATGTGAGTAAACTTACTTGTTGAGTTCTCTGGGCATGTTTGCCCTTTCCAGCAACTGGCACAGCAATGGTTCCATGTTGCTAGACTCCAGCCCATCAAGCTGGACGTCGATACACAGCAGACTGTTCAAGATCTCCCTCCCTTCCAGAGCCTCAAACTCCGCCCCCTTCCCGAGCCCTCCCATGCCTACAACAAAGAGTAGCCGCCGAAGAAGCGTAAGTAAGCCCAGGAGTCATCATTGATGCATTGGACATCATGGATCGCTATCAGCGGGGCCGTTTTGGTGTCTAGTTGGGTGTCTTGGACGAAACGACTCAGGAGACGTTGGAGGATTTAGTGCGGCCTGCTGGGGAGAGGCTTGCGACGGACTCATGAGAGAAAAGCTGGGGAGAACCAAGAAGGAACACTCGGTGTCAGGTGGCTTGGAATTTATGCTAGCAGTAACTCTGCATTTGGGTTTCTAATAAAGCAGTTTAACCCATTCATAAAGACATGAATGATTTCAAGTGAATCGATCTGGAGCAAAACATTACCTAAACATGGGCACAACAAGCCAATAACCTATAATGAAATTGAGTACAATCAAATCGTCTTTTACTGAATCAAATACGACTCTTCTGAAAAGCTATTTTAACAGGTTTTTAAAAATAATATTAAAGGCGTATAGGATCATTTGCATCTAATCAGATCAGACTGGTTTTTAAACGTGTACATACCGGTACAAACATGTACATGTATACCGTACAAAATTTTCTTTTGCTGTAATTTTCAGATATAGAAGGATTTGGGGGGTAAGTATTTAATAGCAAGTATTTTAACACTGACCTATTTAAAGTTTTGTGTTCATAGATGCTGGGAAAACCAAGAAAAAAATGCTGTTCTTGTCTTGTAGTATGGTTCCTCACCCTACTTCAGACAAAACAGCGTCAGGGAATTGTACCGATAGGGTCAAGGAACCAGACTAGCTGGCTTGCTCGCACTCACGGATGTGTAACCGATTGCAAACAAAATGTGTACTTACTATAATTGGCAAATTGGGGGAGTATTGAAAACAGTCAGGTTTTTCCAACGATGGTCGGCCGACAATCATTGGAAATTGATACAAAAATTCCACTTTTCTGGAAAATGACAGCACACCAGGTGCCATGATTTCATAGGACACTTGAGACTATTATTCACTGAAATTTCATAATTATTTAGTAATTTTGTTTTTTGATGTTTGCAAATGTTGCATACCGCGGTATTAACTTTTACACCCCACAAAATAATTCCGTCTGTCTTGCCTTTTAAAATAAAGATCTTCCCTTTTTTTACAATGACCTTTTTATTTTCTAAACGGACTTTCCTACAATGCAGGTGATATTATGCCTCTTCTGTCAATAAAGTCAAGTACTTAATCGCAGATCGGTGGTACATTTCCGCCAAACGAACAGCCCCTAGGCTTAGTCCGCCGTTCTTTAACTATATCCCCCCTTGCGTCAGGGTAACCGCTCATCCTTGTGCGAGGTTAATAAATATTTGTGTGGGTTAAGGCCAGGTCCAATTCCATCCTTCAATCAGGTCAGACTGTCGGGTCACCTAGTTATTCCCGCCACAAAGGGTGTAGGCCTATAGCTCGTTTCGCCACAATACTGATTGAGACATTTACTTGTATTCATTATTAGCTATCCTGCAAATTCGAGTGGAACAAGGTTAAAACAAAATAGGTTAACCAGTTTGCGTCGGATAACGTGTATACAAACAAAGATTTTGCGGTATTCGTAGCGGATGACAGATGAACAAGCAATGATAGCTGAGTCCTATGCATACAGATCGTCAAATTGGTTCAGAGAACTCTTGGAGTTTTTAAGAATAAATTATTGTTTCACTGAAGAAGAAGTGTCTTTGCTCCCGTATTAGTCCCATCCTTGTAGATACATGTAGGATAGGATGCCTGGTTATACAGGTATCACAAGTCCTAAGTTCCCCCCAACATTATTCTTAATTAATGAAATAGAAATGCATGATTTCAACAATATAACAAATGCAAATGACAGAGGACACTCTTCTGCCGATCTTGTGAGAAAATGATAGAAATCCAATCACGCATACCAACACGAAGCTCATTTGAATGAAAAAAGTGCCAATAAAAAAAGTCTCAGTACATAGCATTGCTCCAATGTACCGTACTGGTTTGAGTGATCCTGCAAGGCAGGGTAGACTTTCATTAATTAATAACTTTACCTTACAAAAGTTTCCTTGTTTAAAAGGATGTTTAACTAAACAAGACACAATCTTGGTAATCTAACAGATAATGACAGACCTTTTAATGCAAAGGTGACAAAGAAAATGCTGTGTAATCCTATTTCTTTTAGATTAGATACGAAAGGGATTAACATTCTATCTTTTAAAGCATGATCAAACCAGTACATTGGAGCAATGCTATTTACTGCAACTTTTTTTATTGGCACTTTTTTCATTCAAATGAGCTTCCGTGTTGGTATGCGTGATTGGATTTCTATCATTTTCTCACAAGATGGGCAGGAGAGTGTCCTCTGTCATTTGCATTTGGGATATTGTTGAAATTGTGCTTTTCTATTTCATTAATTAAGAATAATGTTGGGGGGAACTTAGGACTTGTGATACCTGTATATCTTTGATACAAACAATCCGGGAAATATAAATTTATAGTGACTTGGCAATCATTACATCTTGCAAGGTGACAGAAGAAAGTCCTGAATAGCGCCCTCTACTCCACCTCACCCGGCCGCAGCATTACATGACAAAAACAATGAAACAAGCCCATTGGTTTTAGTTTAAACATGCCTTAGACCTTACTCCATATTTTTTATACAATTTCCTTAAAACATAAGTAGTGACTATCAAAGGTTATTAATATCACTCAATCTGAAAATATAAAGAAAACAAAAATCCCCCACTTGCATTATTGTCCATTCAGCCATAACAAATTGTTGTGCGTCAATTTTGATCCATTGAGTCAATTTCTTTTTTTCTTTAAAGTTTTCTGTAGCCACAACAGTGCCCTTTAGTGCTGCACCGCCTCAAATATTTAGCACTAAGGAGCACAAGGGCACCAAGGCAAATGATAGGGCACCAAGTCAAATGATGTAACACCATATGAGAACTCAAACAAACAAAGCAGTAGGCCTACCACTTTGCTATTTTTTTCCCAAGCTTGGATGGTACAGACAAAGAATATTTTTTTTAATGCATCACTACATCAATTCAAGAACTTTGGTCTGACCAGAGACCCATTATTATTTTTTTGTTGGCCAAACGGCCTGTGCTTAATTCTGTCTCATGTTGGATGAATGCCCCGTACATGTAGAGTCCCCAATTTTTGGACTAGGCATGAACCAAGGACTCCTCAATTCATACTCCTAGAACTATGAGGCGCCACGTAGTGGAGCCTCATAGGCAGATTACCCCGCTAAACCGTTTGCTATACAAAACACCAACTTAGTACAAAAACGTCCATCCCAAGCAAGCATTTTCCCACAGAACCGCTGCACAGTTTGCCCCTAAACTCCGTAAAATACCTCATGACATACTCACGTTATGTGCACCAAACAAACATCGGTGGATTCTGTCGGTTTTTCGGCAAAAATGATGAAAAATATGCCCTTTCCGCACTGAGCCAACCTGACACTTGAAACGTGCACGCGCGCAGAATGATAGCAGTCGATTTTCGGTTCGATCCCTCAGAGCGCGTCGCAGGGGGTATGGTAGGAGCGAAACGATAATATGCGCATGCGTACAAGTTCAAGTACGTACCCCCCACGGCGCTCTCCGAGCGATCGCGATTGAACCGAAAATGACTGCGATCATTCTGCGCGTGTGCACGTTTCAAGTGTCAGGTTGGCTCAGTGCGGAAAGGGCATATTTTTCATCATTTTTGCCGATAAACCGACAGAATCCACCGATGTTTGTTTGGTGCACATAACGTGAGTATGTCATGAGGTATTGTACGGAGTTTAGGGGCAAACTGTGCAGCGGTTCTGTGGGAAAATGCTTGCTTGGGATGGACGTTTTTGTACTTAGTTGGTGTTTTGTATAGCAAACAGTCATAGTGGGGTAATCTGCCTATGAGCCTCATCATAGTTCTAGGAGTACTCAATTCATACTAGGATAACTGAGATTACAACTTGAAATTAAAAGGAATCAAACCAAAGAAGCAGTAGGATCTGAACCAAAAACTTTTCAATTCATTCAAGGGTAACTAAGGCTACACCTTGGAACAAAAGAGGAATCGAACCAAGGTCAAACCCATGTACAGGACTCAAACTTGCTACTTACTTTAATCATCAATGATCTAAGTCAGCACAACTCCGTCAATGAGTGGAGGTTGATCCATGTCTCAATGGTGTGCTCGATTGATTGCCTCGTCCACTGCTTCGTTACCACCCAAATAACTCCCCAACCAAGAGAACTGGTTGGTTGATTTTTATCAGCTGTTGAGCAAAAAATAACAGTAATCAGTAATCATAGGAAAATGAGACATTTTCTGTCTTTGTGCAGTTCTCTCTTGAAGGCATTACTAGTGTTCAAAAATTACCAACATTCAAAAAGGTGTCATTACATTGAGAGAAGTCTGCTTTAGGTTGACAACATTTTTTAGCCATAAAAAAAAAATTGATTCGAATTTGATCAAAACAAAACAGGGGCCCTACACTTTACATGATCGCCAAAATGATGATACTGAGTGATACTAACAACATAAATCTGGGACTGCATGCACTGAGAATTAACATTCCCAATTGTGTTAGGAAAATAACTTACAGCATTTTTTTCTTGACTCTCATTCGTGTCCAAAGACCTTTATACACACACACACACACACACAAGTTTACGTTACATACCAAGTGTGGACTTTCCATTGCTTTCGTGTAGTTGAGAAAAACCAGTGAAAAAACTCATTTTTCTTAAACTGTGATAACTCTTTCAACCCATTTTTTTTCTATGATTCCCTTTACTTTAGTGTTTCTCTTCATTCTGCTACGGATAAACCTAACCCAAAAATGCCTCTAAACCTGTTTTCCAGAAATGGGGAAACACTGTGTGGACTTGCCCAAGTCCGCACAGTGTCTCCTCTACCTGGTTTATGTGGACATCTTTTGTTCAGAAGTCCACACAGTGAATGTAATGCCTGTACACCCACACACACACACACAATCGCAGAAGTGTCGTCAGCTCAGGATGCAACATTTTTTCCAGTAAGGCAAACACTGACATCAAGGGAATTTGTCTACCTTGGGAAAGTTGGTTGACTTCCCCCCTGCACCGCCGTCATGACATCCGAAATGATGCGATCGGCGATGACATTGGCTATGGCTCATCCAACAACAACATCGATGATCACCCCCACGTCATGCACGTGAAGGTTTGCTAGCTACACATGCCAGAGGTAAACGCGAGTTCATCCAAAGACTCCTCAATATTCCAAAGGAACGGAGAGACAGAGGTTGTACACCATGTCTGCAGTCCTATGAATATTAGAAATATGATAATGAAATAAGAGCATGAAACTGGAGTGGGAGGGTCTCAACCAAAGACCCATAATCACAAACGCAGAAAGGTAATTAAACAAACTACATGTACACACGTAGCAAGACAGCTGCGTGTTTGGCAATTAAACTGTGTTTGGCGCCCTCAATATTGAGGGCGCCAAACACGTTTCATTGACTGCACCAAACCATTGTGTACACAGTCTGAGATCAATGGCACAAACCACCAAAGACATAAACGCAAAAAAAGCAAGCTGTGTAGAAAACATGTACCTGTGTTTCCCCAAGAGTGGATCCAGAACACAATTTTTTGGGGCTGGGCGAAAAAAAAATTGGTCCCACAAAAAGTGATTCCAAAAATTACGGCGTTTGGAATATACAACATTTGCAAACACCAAGTTTTTACGAAATACCTCACTAGGATCTTGGTTAATGACAGTCTAAAGCATCCTGTAAAATTTTGGCACTTAGTGTGAAGTCATTTTCAAGAAAATTGTATTTTTGTATAAATTTCCAACGGTGGTCGGCCGACCACCGTTGGAAAACCTAACTATTTTTCAACTACTGCTCCAAATTTACCATTTTGTTCAGTCAAAATTTTGTTTGCTATTGGTTACATGTTCATGAACGGGTGCAGCCCAGCTAGACTGGTTCCCTGACCTAACAATTTTCCGGCATCTATAAATTGATCCATTTCATCTTTAGTGGAGTCAGGGAACCAGACTACTTGAACGTTTTTGTTTTCTTGGCTTTTTCAGCATTTTCGAACACAAAACTTCAAACATGTCTGTGTAACAATATTTGATCTATTATACTAACCCCTCAAATAGTTCATTTTTAAAAAATAACAGCAAAAGCCAATGATGTACATTCCCTTTAAGGGCCCCGAAAAACTTTTGGATTCTAGATGCTCTTTGGTGCGATCTGAGGGAATTTCTGACCACTTTAGCCAACGCCAACGTTTTAGGAGGAAAAGATGGTGGTGTACTCAGTGCCTGCCTGCCTTAATTGCGACGTCACATAAAAACAAAAACAAAAATGTTTTCATTTTGAAAAAAAAAAACACACTCTCGAGATATATACAAAACCGCATGCACAGGGCGCGCCGCCATTTTGAATTTCGATGGCTTCAGACCTTTCAATCGGCCCCATAGAGTGATATTTACACGTGATAATTGTGTCACATATCGTGTTAAATAATGTATTTCTAAGAGTTAGTGTCTGGATCCGTGTGTGTTGTCCACTTAAAATCGCATGGTGTTTTACGCCATTTGAGCACACTACGTTGCTTTGTTTCAATAAATGTTATTGTTTGACGATTTTTCTTCAAATTAAAGAGAGTTATGTCATATTATCATATTGAACAAACACACTAAATGTCAACTTAATACAGCAAGTATTTCTTGAGTTATTGTCCGGAAAGTGTGTTGTTTATGTTCTGGGAAAGTTGACTTCAATTCACCTGGTATTTTAAGCGCTATTACAATCTACATTGCTTTGTCTACATTATTTTTTTTATTGTTTGACGATTCTTCTTTAAATTCAACAGAAATCGGTCACATACAATGTTTAGAAAGTGTATGAAATGTCAATTTAATGCAACAAATATTTTTTGAGTTATTGTCTGGAAACCGAGTGTGTGGTTTTATTCTGGGAAAGTTGACTTAAAAGTGCCTGGTATTTTACGCATTTAATACACTAAATTGCTTTGTTTACATTATTTTTGTTTGTTTGACAATTCTTGTTTAAATTAGACAGAGAGGGGTCACTTATCATCTTTAATGAGCGTATGGAATTTCACTTTCATTCAACAAATATTTCTTGAGTTATTGTTTGGAAACCAATTGTGTTGTTTTTGTTATAGTAAAGTTGACTTAAAATCGCCTAGTATTTTACGCTCTTAATACACAACATTGATTTGTTTATTATTTTTTTTTTATTGTTTGAGGATTCATCTACAAATTAACAGACTTGTTTTATATATCACGTTTTATCAACATAAAAAACCTGCAATTCAATGCAAAAAGTAATTGTTTGAGTTATTGCCTGGAAGCCAAGTGTGTTGTTTTCATTACAGTATAGTTGTTTTCAAATCGGCTGGTATTTTACACGTTTTACAATCCTACATTTCTTTCATAGGCGTCGCGAGGGGGGGGGGGGGGGGGGCAAGGGGGGCACTTGCTCCCACCCCCTGGAAAAGCAAAAAAGAAAAAAGAAAAAAAAAAAAAAGTGAAAAAGAGGCACGAAGACAAAGTGGTGTAAATTTAATGAGTTGGGGGGGGGGGCAAAATGTCCCTGTCCTCCTCTAAAACTGACAAATCGAGATTGTGTTGAGAAATACAAACATTGTTTGGCAAAAAAGATTGTTTTGCCCCCCTCTAGAAAAAATCCTGGCGACGCCCATGATTTCTTTGTTTATATTATTTAAAGTGTTGGATGATATTCCTTCAAATTCAACAGAATGAGGTCAAATATCATGTTTAACAAGCGAATGATATGTCAATTTGATGCGACGAATGTTTCTTGATTTATTGTCTGGAAACTAAGTGTGTTGTTGTTGTTATAGTAAAGTTTACCAACAATCACCTGGTATTTTGCGCGCGCACTACACTAAATTGTGTTGTTTATTATTTTTTTCATTTATAACGATTCGTCTACAAATTCAACAAACTTGTATCAAATATCACGTTTAATTGTAATTAACGAAATTGTAATTAAGTGCAAAAGGTATTTCTTGAGGTTTTGTCTGCAAACCAAGTATGTTGTTCTGCAATAGTAAAGTTGACTTAAATTCGCCTAGTATTTTACGCGCTTTACAATCTACACTGCTTTGTTCATAACTGTTTGACTATTCTTCTTCATGTCCGTAAATTGCGCCGTAATTTTACGGACTTTGCGTAATTGCAGATATTAATTATGCTTATTAGCATGATTACAATCAACCACATCGGCCCAAACACCTACACATTATAGTAATCCAAGTGTACCGTGTACACATGTCCAAACTCATGTTAATGGTCTGTTTATTTTACGAAACGAAAAAACTTTTCCGGAAATTTTGCTGCCAGCAAAAAAAGCGTTCCGTATTCCTGCAGTAAAATGTATTTAGTATATATTTACTTGCTTTTACAGTAAGACGTCGGTGGCAACTTAAGACGTCGGAGTGCGGTGAGCAGTGTTTGTGCAGCACCCTCTTTTGTAAGAAATTGTTGCATGACGATAACATACGGAGTGTTCTTCGTACTGCAATTCCCTTAAATTGTATTACATTATTCTTCGGCGGTTTCCGTCAAGTTTCTAGAGTTTCGTGTCAAATACCATGACAAAATAATACAGGAAATGTCATTGCAATACAATGTTTTTATCTCGAGTTCCCAATTTCACAATAACTGTGTTGACATGACGAGAAAATACAGAGTGTCCTTCATACTGCAATTTCCTTTTGAGCCCCCCCCCCCCAAGAGGTTGTCATTTTTGTTGTTAGTCCCACGATTGGCTGTTGTCAAAATAGGCCGGCCCTAACAAATTTGTAAACCAAAATATTTTGTCGGAACGCGGTGAGCAGTGTTTGTGTAGCGCGCCCTCTTTTGTTCGAAATTCTTGCATGAGGATAAAATACGAAGTGTCCTTCATACTGCAATTTCCTTTACTTATATTACATTCCACCTTCGGAGGTTCGTGTCAATTTTCTAGATTTTCGTGTCAAATACCATTGCAAAACATTACATGAAATTTCAATGCAATACAATGTGTTCATCTTGAGTTCCCTTTTTGCACAATAACTGTGTTTACATCTCGAATGGCCAGACGTCGGAGCGTGGTGAGCAGTATTTGTGTAGCGCGCCCGCTCTTTGAAAAGAAATAATTGTTATAAAATCTTTTTAAAATACTCAGAACTCTTTAGTCCCACGATTTTGGCCTTGGAGATTATTAATGTGGTCTGTTTTCGAGTAGTTTAATAGGGGTGTAAGTGGCGCCACTAACGTCAAAATAGGCCGCCCCTAAAAAAAAACACCATTTTTTTATGCGGCCAAAAAATTTGGGAAAAATTTTTGAAAACAAAAACAAACAAAACTGTATTTTGTAAATAGACATATTTTGAGCCCCCCCCCCGCCCTAAAACCAAATCCTGGGTGCGTCACTGGTTAATATTATTTTAACTATTTGACGATTATTCTTGAAATTCAACAGTAAGGGGTCGTATATCATGTTTAATAAGTGGATTCAATGTCATTTTAAGGTACGGGATAAATCTTGAGTTATTGTCTGGAAATCAAGTTGGTTGTTAATGTTACAGAAAAGTTGACTTCAAATCGCCTGGTAGTTTACGCGCTTAGCAATCCTACATTGCTCTGTTTGATATTATTTTAACTGTTGATCGATTCCTCTTCAAATTCAACAGAAAGGAGTCACATATCATGTTTATTAAGCGTGTGATATGTCAATTTAATGCGACGAATACTTCTTGATTCATTGTCTGGAAATAGTAAAGTTTACCGAAAATCGACTGGTATTTTTACCCGCTTATTTCACCACATTGCTTTGTTTATAATGGGTTTTTTTTATGACAATTTGTCTACAATTTCAACAGAATTGTATTAGATATCACGTTTTATCAATATACGAAATTGCAATTCATTGCAAAATGTATTTCTTGAGTTTTTGTCTGGAAACCAAGTACATGTATGTTGTTTTGTTATAGTAAAGTTCACTTGAATTCGCTTTGTATTTTACGTGCTTTATAATCTGCATTCCAGAATCGCCTGGTATTTTACGCGCTGAATACAGTACATTGCAATGTTTTATTATTTAACTATTCGACGATTCTTCTTCAAAATGTTCAAATTCAACAGAAAGGGGTCACAAATCATGTTTAATAAGCGTATGAAATATCAATTTAATGTAACGGATATATCTTGAGTTATTGTCTGTAAATCAAGGTTGTTGTTTATGTTACAGTAAAGTTGACTTAACTACTGGGAATGGGATCAGCCGTCAATTTCTTTTGTAATAAGCCACAATGAATCCTCAAACCCACTAAGCAACTTAAATTGACAAGAACCGTGGAAAAATTCAAACCCCCCAAAAATTGATTGCAAATTTAAGTCACATTGAATTGAAAAACGTAAAACACTATTTATAGAGACAATAATCCCCCACCCAAATAAATTGTATTGATATGAAAACTTGACAATAATTAGTCATGATGTACTGACACACACAAAAAACCCGACGGAAACCTGGGAAGAAACAATAAAAGACAATAAAACAATTGTTTGAACGCTCCGTACGTAGCTTTTGCTACCGTCGATTTCTTCCAAAAGAGGGCGTCCTACACAAACACTGGTCAGCACCTTTAAGATTTTTGTATAATGCAGATGACAATCTGCGAACAATAAAACATGTTTTTTAAGACATAATGACTGCAGAACACATCGCATTTAATGAAAATTGCGTCCTATTATTGTCCATTATATTTTACACAAGTTTGAAAATTGATGAAAGCCATTGCGGAATAAATTTAATATGATTTATAAAAATCACGAAAAATTCATAACGAAAGTCACTTTTTATTGAACAAAAATAAATCACTCTTTCTAGAGACAATTATTGCAAAATAGCTCATCGCTTTTTTGACACAGAAAGTAAGAAACTTGACAGGAACAGAAGAAGAATAAAATAATGTAATGTCATTTAATGACAATTTAGTGTTTTAATCGCAAAAAACAATTAATTGGGAATTAAAGTAACTTTATAATAATTGAATGAAAGTAACATGCTACCTATGGATACAATTACTCCAGAATAATAGATATTTGAACATATCAGTCGATAATTAGTCGTCACGTAATGACATAAAAAATACCTGGACGGAAACCTCGTCGGAAAAAAATACACGACAATAAAGCAAAAAGTGTCGACGCTATACAGGGTGTTTCAATAAAAAGGAAACCCAACTTTGAAGAACAAGTATGGACAGACTAAATGTTTACTGGCTGTGAAACCGCTTTCATATAAAAGCGTAATCTCTATGCTTTTCAATGATACCTTGTTTACATTTCCAGGGCCTTGCATCACTGAGCATCATTATCTTCAAAACTGGATGCAAAATTGCAGTTGGTTCACTTTCATGTCAAACACAATAGGCATGGTGTGCATGGGAATAAGTATTCAAGAAGATAACACGGGTGCATCAAAAGAAATAAAAAAACAAGTCGGGTTGGTTTCAAAAGTGGATTTTGTTTGTCATTAATTCTCGTTTTGACCAAGCCACGTTCAAAACAATCTGCCATTTTCCCGAGAATTGACATTCAAGCCATTTCAAAGACATTTCCGTAACAATAGGCACACCGTACCCAGTGGTTTTTTTTTTTTATGAAAGTGAACCAAGTGCATTTTTGCATTCAGTTTTCAAGACAATGATGCTCAGTGATGCATGACTCAGAAAACCTAAACACGGTATCATTGAAAAGCATAGAGATTACGCTTACAGATGATACCAGTTTTATAGCCAGTAAACATATCGTAAGTCCATACTCATTCTTTGAAATTGGGTTTCCTTTTTTGGAAACACCCTGTATACGTACACCATGATTGCTTCCTTCAATTTCTTGCAAAAAACGAAGACGTCCGTCAATGTGTGTCACGATGTACCCATTTGACAAAAATACCACACTCTCTGTGGAGATAATATTGCAGAATAACGCATCCCATATGATTAAAATTGCGTCGCATTACTGGCCGTGATATGTGACGCAACATGATTGAAAATTTAAGGGAATCTTGGGAAAATTTTATTCTTATATGATTGAAGAAAGCAGTATTTTTATCGTGAAAAAAACTTTGTTAATTGGAATTACTTTTGAAGGAAATTTTGTTGAATATTTAGTCGCAATGTAAAGATTTGAAGAAAAAAAATCGACTGAAATCTCGAACAAAAAATATCCACTCTTTGTTAATGGTTCCGATACCTAAAGGAAAGCGCGTTGAATTGAATTGAAATTTCGTCCAATAATTATTCATGATGTATAACAAAACAGTTTTGAAGAAAAAAAATGACAGGAACCTTAAAAAAAAAATGCCACAATAAAAACTACAACGTGTAAGCAAACTCCGTTTTTTGCTGTCATCTATTTCTTCCAACAGAGGGTGCACTACTAAGTGTAAAAAGGTCCCACTTTAGATCCATAATAATTATGTTGTTTTCCTATGGATTCAAACTAAAATTGTAGATGATGTACACGAGGAATTAACTTTTTGAGCGATTTTCTTCAGTTTTGTATATACGAGAAGGTAACATTTAAACGCCATCCAAAATAATACTCACTTTCAGAATTTGCTACAGTTGACTTGGCGTCCCCAAATGTCCATGCAGCGCTGGACACCAAGCTGAAGCCCGTGCTGGTTTGAAGCTTCTGAAGGAATGCAGAATCACCACTGGTGTCGTTGCAAATGATCTAGGACAATCCAGGAGGTGTGCAAAATAGTGTATTAATTGCGAAAAGTCCGATTCAAAGGAAAGTCACTTTTAATTGCAGAAAATGAATGAAGAAAACACATTCCAATATTTGATCATGATATTATAACATAAAAAGATTGTAACAAATTTACAGATACCGTGATAAACCAAAAACATTGCGACCATAAAAACTAGACTATGTTCCCACCATCAATGTAATCGTCAATGCCGACCCTGACATGCCCATTTATGATCATAACAATTGAGCTCGAAATAGAAGAAAAACAATTCTCAGTCATAATCACAAAATGTGAACTGTTATTTTATGTCCCCGAGTTATGACAAACGAAAGAGTCCAAAATTACAAGAAGGAACTTACGGTCTGTACAACAGGTTCGCCCTTTAGCAAAGGAAGTCTTAGTCAACACGACGAGGGTGACACTGCAATAGCTGTGAACTGAAGGCACGTGGCGTTTCTGTTGTTGTTGTCAAGCAGATGACAGGTTCGGTAATGAGCGTATTTGTATAGATTCTAAACACAAAGCACCCACTAGAACATTACAATGCAAATTCCTACCATTCACTGACCATGCCTGTAACTAACCTTCGACGTTTTGAAGTCTGAAAAGGATTTATTTTCTCGACTGTAATACCCTTAAAGCGTTGAGAAATTTGGTTTGTTTGGTTAGAGTGCCAAAAATAATATCTTGGGTAATTAATTCTGTACTGTTCCATAAATTTTTTTGGCGAAACTGCTTTAACTTTATAAACACTTCCCAACGGGTAATATTTTGGTTGAAATGCAGTACTTTGTTAGGATTTTGTTAGGACAGTCACTCTTCAAGCCCAATCTTCCCTGATCATTTATTTAGTCTCCCCAACAGAACTGTAAAAGTAACTACATTCGACTAAAAAGAAAGTCCCCACCTTAGAATTCTTCTTTGTTTAACCCTAAAGGGGCCGGGGCGGAATCCGCCGCCTCGACTTTTTCTGCGATAGCCTTGAATTTCTTTCCGCCAAACGAACTGTTATGACTTTTTAGCCCCGAGCCTTGCGCATCTTTTGATACCAAAAACATAAAAATCGGACCACGGGTTGCCGTCCGGCGCTACTCGCCTTAAAAACTGAATTTCCCCATATTCGTCGTGTACACAGAGCAAAATTACCATTTGTGCATATGAATAATTAATTACCCATCAATCCAAAAACCCTTTGACCAATAGTTATGAAATTTCTTGGGTATGTTTATGATAAGTTGTTTTACAATTTTTCGTCGCTCGAAGGTCGAGTTTTTAGGGCGGGGGGGGGGCAGAATCCACCAAACCCCCGGCTGAGAGGTGGTCAAACTAACCCGACCCTTTAGGGTTAAAGGAAATTATACAACGTTTGCTTTTGCTACAATTTTCAAGAATAAATGAATTCGGAGGATCATATTGTTACGGATGCTGCACAACTGAACAAAAAGAACAACCTCGTTTCCGAAGAACTACTCAAGAAATACAAAATGGATTAAATTGAAATTTGGTGCAATTAGTTTTCACGATGTGTAGCATATGTAGTTTGAATGGCGTGAGAAACCGTGGAGCTATAAATATAATATGATCGTAACAATCTAATGTTTTAAACGTTAAAAATCCATGTTGACTTCCATTAGGATTGTACTTGTCGCAAATAAAACCCTATATTGTTACGGTCATAATATCTTGATTATTTTGACGTTTTTTAATGAAATTAAATCTTTTGATGTCAAACATCATGACAAGTGAGTGTGCGAAAATTCATTTTAATGTAACGTGTATATCTTGAGTTGTTGGCCCCAAATCGAGTTTGGTGGTGGAGATCGAGACCACTATAATAGAGGGCGCGCCACATAAATAGTGGTCTCAACAACGCATCAACACAGTGGAGCTATAAATATAATATGATCGTAACAATCCAGTGTTTTAAACGTTAAAAATCCATGTTGACTTCCATTAGGATTGTACTGGTCGCAAATAAAACCCTGTATTGTTAAGATCATAATATCTTGATTATTTGACGTTTTTTTAATGAAATTAAATCTTTTGATGTCAAACATTATGTAAAATGAGTGTGCGAAAATTCAGTTTAATTTAACGTGTATATCTTGAGTTGTTGGCCCCAAATCGAGTTTGGTGGTGGAGATCGAGACCATTATAATAGAGGGCGCGCCACATAAATAGTGGTCTCAACAACGCATCAACACAGATGCTGCACAACTGAACAAAAAAAAACAACCTCGTTTCCGATGAACTACTCAAGAAATACAAAATGGATTAAATTAACATTTGGTGCAATTAGTTTTCACGATGTGTAGCATAAGTAGTTTGAATGGCGTGAGAAACCGTGGAGCTATAAATATAGTAATGATCGTAACAGTCTAGTGTTTTAAACGTTAAAAATCCATGTTGACTTCCATTAGGATTGTACTTGTCGCAAATAAAACCCTGTATTGTTACGATCATAATATCTTGATTATTTGACGTTTTTTTTATGAAATTAAATCTTTTGATGTCAAACATTATGTAAAATGAGTGTGCGAAAATTCAGTTTAATGTAACGTGTATTTCTTGAATTGTTGGCCCCAAATCAAGTTTGGTGGTGGAGATCGAGACCACTATAATGAGAGGGCGCGCCACATAAATAGTGGTCTCAACAACGCATCAACACAGATGCTGCACAACTGAAAAAAAAGAACAACCTCGTTTCCGATGAACTACTCAAGAAATACAAAATGGATTAAATTGAAATTTGGTGCAATTAGTTTTCACGATGTGTAGCATAAGTAGTTTGAATGGCGTGAGAAACCGTGGAGCTATAAATATAATATGATCGTAACAATCTAGTGTTTTAAACGTAAAAAATCCATGTTGACTTCTATTAGGATTGTACTTGTTGCAAATAAAACCCTGTATTACACTCAGACACGAATACATGTACAATCAAAACATCATTAACCAATATATTAGATTTGCCGCAGCCTGAAATTAAATCTTTTGATGTCAAACATCATGACAAATGAGTGTGCGAAAATTTAGTTTAATGCAAAGTGTATTTCAAGCGTTGTTGGCCCAAAATCGAGTTTGATGGTGGAGATCGAGTCCACTATATTAGAGGGCGCGCCACATAAATAGTGGTCTCAACAACGCATCAACACAGATGCTGCACAACTGAACAAAAAGAACAACCTCGTTTCCGATGAACTACTCAAGAAATACAAAATGGATTAAATTGAAATTTGGTGAAATTAGTTTTCACGATGTGTAGCATAAGTAGTTTGAATGGCGTGAGAAACCGTGGTGCTATAAATATAATATGATCGTAACAATCTAGTGTTTGAAACGTTAAAAATCCATGTTGACTTCCATTAGGATTGTACGTATGAGTGTGCGAAAATTCAGTTTAATGTAACGTGTATTTCTTGAATTGTTGGCCCCCAATCTAGTTTGGTGGTGGAGATCGAGACCACTATAATGAGAGGGCGCGCCACATAAATAGTGGTCTCAACAACGCATCAACACAGATGCTGCACAACTGAAAAAAAAAGAACAACCTCGTTTCCGATGAACTACTCAAGAAATACAAAATGGATTAAATTGAAATTTGGTGCAATTAGTTTTCACGATGTGTAGCATAAGTAGTTTGAATGGCGTGAGAAACCGTGGAGCTATAAATATAATATGATCGTAACAATCTAGTGTTTTAAACGTTAAAAATCCATTTTGACTTCCATTAGGATTGCACTTGTCGCAAATAAAACCCTGTATTGGTACGGTCATAATATCTTGATTATTTGACGTTTTTTTAATGAAATTAAATCTTTTGATGTCAAACATCATGATAAGTGAGTGTGCGAAAATTTAGTTTAATGTAAAGTGTATTTCAAGAGTTGTTGGCCCCTAATCGAGTTTGATAGTGGAGATCGAGACCACTATAATAGAGGGCGCGCCACATAAATAGTGGTCTCAACAACGCATCAACACAGATGCTGCACAACTGAAAAAAAAAGAACAACCTCGTTTCCGATGAACTACTCAAGAAATACAAAATGGATTAAATTGAAATTTGGTGCAATTAGTTTTCACGATGTGTAGCATAAGTAGTTTGAATGGCGTGAGAAACAGTGGAGCTATTAATATAATATGATCGATCGTAACAATCTAGTGTTTTAAACGTTAAAAATCCATGTTGACTTCCATTAGGATTGTACTTGTTGCAAATAAAACCCTGTATTGTTACGGTCATAATATTTTGATTATTTTGACATTTTTTTATGAAATAAAATCTTTTGATGTCAAACATCATGACAAATGAGTGTGCAAAAATTCAGTTTAATGTAACGTGTATTTCTTGAATTGTCGGCCCCCAATCTAGTTTGGTGGAGGAGATCGAGACCACTATAATGAGAGGGCGCGCCACATAAATAGTGGTCTCAACAACGCATCAACACGGATGCTGCACAACTGAAAAAAAAGAACAACCTCGTTTCCGATGAACTACTCAAGAAATACAAAATGGATTAAATTGAAATTTGGTGCAATTAGTTTTCACGATGTGTAGCATAAGTAGTTTGAATGACGTGAGAAACCGTGGAGCTATAAATATAATAATGATCGTAACAATCCAGTGTTTGAAAAGCTAAAAATCCACGTTGACTTCCATTAAGATTGTATTTGTCGAGAATGATACCCTGTATTGTTACGGTCATAATAGCTTGATTTTTTTGACCTTTTCTTCTGAAATTAAATCTGTTCATGTCAAACATAATGACAATAGAGGGCGTGCCACATAAATAGTGGTCTCAACAACGCATCAACACGGATGCTGCAAAATTGAACAAAAAAGAACAAACTCGTTTCCGATGAAATACTCAAGAAATACGAAATGGATTCAATTGAAATTTCGTGCGATTACTTTTCACGATGTGTAGCAGAAGTCTTTTGAATGGTGTGAGAAACCGTGGAGCTCCTAATATAATATGATCGTAACAATCTAGTGTTTGAAAAGCTAAAAAATCCACGTTGACTTCCATTAGGATTGTATTTGTCGAGGTTGAAACCATGTATTGTTACGGTCATAATAGCTTGATTGTTTGACCTTTTCTTCTGAAATTAAATCTGTTCATGTCAAACATAATGACAAATGAGTGCACAAAAATTCATTTTAATATAACGTGTAGTTCTTGAGTTTTTGCCCCCAAAACGAGTTTGTTCTGTATTTCAAAATTGAATATTCAGTGATTTGTCATGATGACTGTGTTACATTATGAGATTTAATTCCATGAGAAACCATCAAACAATGAAAAAGAGTATACCCGAAACAAATACAGTATTTTAAACGTGAAAAATACTAACCAAATGAAAAATGAAAAGTCAACGTCTATGGAAAAATAATAATACACTCGTTGTTTGAGCAATAACCCGAGCTCACCAGGTCAAGCTATATTAAGTTGTAAGTT